CAACCCCTAACATTCTGTGATTCTGTGGTTTATCCAAGGGTTTATCCCACTCAGGTGTCAGCCCTGAGTGACACCTCCCCACTCTGGCTGCCCTGCAGGACCCAGTACATCAGTGGCCTGTCTCCAGGTCCCTTCCCAGGGAGATATTGGGTGACAAGGGCTACACAAGACTGCTAGTTCTCATCTCAGGTAAGGAGCCACAGGTATCCCCAACCCTTGGCCTTCAATGGAAACAAGTCTAACCTAAAAACATTCTCTACGGCATCATCTGGGCTCCCACAGCTGCTGCAATGTCCTTCCAGTCCCACTTTTGGAGTGGGAGGCAAAAAGCAAAACACCTTTGAGCCCCAAAGATGACTTGGAAAGCACTGGAATAAGAAAATGCCTTTGGCAGAGAGCCCCTCATTTCTCCTAAAAGCTCAAAATCAGGCTCAGCATCTTAAGCCACTCCATCAAGCCAGGCCAGGTCCCAGCTCCTGGCAGGATAGGAAGGGCTGGAGGCCATGCCGAGGGGGCAGAGATGCTTCAGAGGGGCAGTACGTACAGAGGGACTGCTCCCTGGGCAAGCACCGCTGAAATAACAGTGAAAAAAAAAAAAAGCCAGGGGATGAAGGAAAACCACAGACATGCATGGTATTTACTCGGGGCAGAATTGCATTGTAAATCGTTTAGCGCAATTGTTTTCCGTAGCCTTTCCAACGAAGCATCAGCTGCTCTTGAAAGATGAATGGCAAAAAAGTCTGATTTGAATAACTACAAACGGAGAAATTAACTGGTAGGTTGTTTTTCCTGCCTTTTCCCCAGAGCTAAAAACCTGCTGTGGGAGGCAGAGTGATGTAATCGCAGGCACAGCATCACTTCCCAGCTGCCGGGGAGATCTATTATGGCCTAAATTAAATAAAAACACAGATGAGATAATCTCCTTTATCTCTAAAGGTGGGGAAAGGCTACTTCATGCCTCATCACAGCAGCGACTGCTGAGGACTTTGAACAAAAAATTAATGACGGGTGTCTGCTGGAAGGCCATTGCCTGCAGGATGGGTCTGGACAGGGAGCAGGGCAGATCCAGGGCAGGGGGGGAACAGCCCACAAGCAGGGTAGGAAGAGTGAGGGGCTGCAGTTGGGCCAAAATGCGAAGTCAGCCTTAAAGGCATGTCCACAGGTTTCCCACTTTGGAGGCTGGAGCTGGCCCCGACACCCAGGCGTAGCTCAGCAGCCCACGACACTGCTTCTGCAGGAGTCTGTGCATCCATGTGCTTGCATCCAGTGCACGCTCGATTAATTGACTAGATGACGCCAATGGGTTGCCCATCCCCTTCTCCTCTGTTCATCTTTAACACCAGTAAGGGTCTCACGAGCCTGCTGACAAGAGGATAGCTGTGGTGGGGAGCTGGAGATCCCCCTGCGCAGCGGGGAGCAAAGGGAGATCGAGGCTGCCATTACCTATGAATGAGTTAATTAAGGACAAGAAGGGTGGCTTGGGAATGGCAGAGCTCTCATTAGGCCCGTCTCTAATTAACGCCTGGAACAAGTTCCCACCAGAGGAAGGCAGACCAGACCTGGAGCACGGGGAGGAGTTAAAACGCCCTCACTGTGCCGTTGGGAGACGCTGTGATCTCCCTGCCTCCCTTCCCATCTCTCCAGGGACTCCTCCATGCATTTTTCCTCCATGGAGGAGAGGGAAGAGGCTTATTGGAAACTGCTGAGGGCAGAAAGGTGCTTGGAGGAGGAGGGAAGCAAAAAACTCACAAAAGGGAGGAAGAGAAAGGAGGGAAAAGAGGATGATGGGTAGGAACCACAGCCAGGATCTCTGGGCCATGAGTCTACATGGTGGAAACCCTCCTGTGATGCTCCCACCCATTGTAGAAGCTCCAGAGCATATGTCCAGCACCCTTCTCCCTGGTCCAGCGGGCAGCAGATGTAGGGCAGTCATGGGGGATGTTGAGCAAGACAAAAGCTTGCGAGAGGTATGTACCAAGGAGCTGGTGTAGGTGGGGTCAGACGTATCGTCCTGCAGGTAGCGCGAGAGGCCGAAGTCTGACACCTTGCACACCAGGTTGCTGTTGACCAGAATGTTCCTGGCAGCCAGATCTCGATGCACGTAATTCATCTCCGCAAGGTACTTCATCCCGGCAGCAATTCCTCTGAGCATCCCCACCAGCTGGATCACTGTGAACTGCCCGTCATTTTGCTGCGATCAGAAAGAGCAGGCACTGGGATGAGCATACAGACCCCACTGTGGGACCAAAGCCACTCACCCCCAACCTTGGGAGGATGCTGCACTTCCCCAGAGGACTATACATCTTCCCCGCCCTGCCTCATTAAAGCAGAGGTATGCTAGCACCAAAATGCACGTGTTTTGGGGGTGTATGGCACACTGCAACCAGCTCCCAAGTTAAGGAAACAGGCTGGGATTTACAGGACAACATCTTGTTCCCGAATCCCACAGCTGAACAAGAGCCCGCACGGCCCCACCTCGTCTCACCCGCAGGAACGAGTCCAGGGCCCCATTCTCCATGAACTCTGTGATGATCATGACCGGTCGGCTTTTGGTCACCACTCCTTCCAGCCGAATGATGTTGGGGTGGTCGAACTGCCCCATGATGCTGGCCTCGCTCAGGAAATCCCGGCGCTGCTTCTCAGAGTAGCCAGCTTTAAGTGTTTTGATGGCCACGTAGATCTCCCGCTTGCTAGGCAACTTCAGGCGTCCTTTATACACTTCTCCAAACTCCCCTGCAAGTGTGAGACCATTTGCTACCAACTCCTCCTCCACAGAAAACATTGCAAAGAGTAACAGTACCTTGAGCTGCTTGGTCTCCAAACCAACCAGCTGAGAAATGTCAGCCAGTTAAAACTTCAGTGATGCTCTCCTCTATAAATCCACTCCTCTTTAAAAGGGGCAATGTCTGCTGCTGAGGACGTGTTTGGGCTTGCAGTCTTCTCCAAGGTGACAGAGCCCAGCACCAACAGAAGCAGAGGCTGGGGCCACTCTTGCAAACTCCCACAAGAAGGATTTGCAGAGCAAGAGCACCAACATTTAAGGACTGCTTCAAATATAAGGTGTCAGCATTGATAATCTTGGTTGCCTTTGTGCACATCACTTATCTTGGAATGGAAAATAATTGGGCTGTTTTCATTGCTGTTCTCCAGTTTAAAATACAGAGAAAGCATCCTGTCATTTTGAGTGGGAAAGCTTTTCCTCCACCAAGGCAAAATTTGTCTGTTGAAGGGATTACATTTAAGCCAGGTTTGCAGCCACTTTGCCTTGATGAGCAGCAAAGGGCAGCTGATACATCGCTGAACTTGATCCTGACTGAACTAGCTCATTGCTTTTTTGCAGCTTCCCCCCTAGCTTCTCACTTTCTCTTCTACAAGTACGACATAGTTACTCAAAAATGGCAACAAAAGCAGCACAGATGAAATAAGATATGTGCACACATGTGTATATATACATACGTATGGGGATATGGCACAGAAAAGAGTGAGATCTGGCTTTTTCTTGTTATCTCATGGAAAAGCCAAGTAGAAAATCCCAAGAGGCCCTGCAGTCACCCAGCAAACATATTCAGGCAGCCTTTCCCACCTCAGAGGAACTCTGAGAGCAGAAATCAACCTCACATCCACCCTAACCCACCACAAACCCAGGAAAGCCTTACGTCTCGAGGCTTCCTTGAGGGTTTCCTAGTGAAGGGCCACATGTGCACCCCCGCAAAATTGCTCCAGGTGGGTGTCTGGCCATGAAGGAGCAATGGAAAGGGCAGGCAGGGATGGGCAGCAGGGGAGGGCAAGACTCACCTGCTCCAATGACTTCTTCGATCTTCACAAAGGATACATCGATCTCCTTGGCAAATTCTCGGACCGCCTCATTGGGATCCTCGTAAGTGAAGGGGTCAATGTAGATCTTCATCCCTGGAGACCCTTGTTGCAGAAAATATGGTAGCAATGGCAAAAAAAGAGAGAAACCAAGAGCAGTTGTGCCATGGCCAAGAACTGGAGAACCCCATGTCCTCACACTCTCCGTACGCCTGTCAAGATGGCTGCTATCGCTGTGCTCACCTGCTCCACCTCCATAGACCTTTATTGTCCTCTTTGGTCCCCCTTGCTCCACCCAACCCTCCCCTGCATCCCCTCCTCAGTCTCTCTGCCCTTCACTCCTCTACCATTATCCCTCCCCTTCCTCCTTCACGGCAACGGGGAGCAGTGACAGACCTGAATTACAATCAGCTGGCTTTACGGCAAGGGCTTTACGAGGTTTCAGGCATTAGTGAAGAAATATTTATTTACCCAAAAATGCCTCTGATAGCTTTGTGGCAGCTACTAAACTGACAGAGTGCAGCAATTATAATCAACAACCTGCAGGGAACCATAAAATATGGCTTGGCCGGCCTCTGTCACAAGTGTGCTGTCCCTTGCATGGGGACAATGCATGGCAGCAGGATCTGGCCATGCTGCAGGGAGACGCAGCGACTGGGCAGTTGCCCTTTTCAAAAGGGGGAAAAACCAAAACAGGCCCTCAAATTCCCCAAATGGGGTTTGCAGACATCATGTTTGGATGCTCTGGGGCTTGCAGAGATGCTGGGGAGCACAGCCATAGGGCAGAGTGCAGCCAGTGCCATCCCCAGGGCTCAGCAGGGCACCAGTGTTATACCACAGTCCCCAAAGGGGACCCAAAATGGGCTGTGGTCTCCCTGTGGGGGTTCAGCCTCCCATGCCATTTCTCACCCAAAAAGGGGACCAGGGATGGCATAGCAGCCTCTCAAGGTCAATTCTGGAGGAAAGCAGGAGGGACATCACTGCCTGGTTCTCCTCCTCAAGGTACGTCACCCTTACAGTGATTAACAGCATTTGATTACACTGTTAAGGACCTCGCCAAGGGCCATGATCTTGTCACACTGGCGCTTCCCGGAGCCTTTCTAGAGCCAATGCGTAGATGAATGCACAGACCATGGCATCACCCCTGTATGGCTCCATGCTGGGATTCTAAATTGGCTCCTAGCTGCTTTGCAAGTTTGCTGGGCAAGTAATTCGGCAGGAGGCATTAAAGCCTTGCAGCAGGGCACGGCTGGTGCAAAACAGCCACTGAGGAAGAACTGCTTGTGGGGCTCCTGGGACTCGGGAGGGACCAGGCAGGAGCATCCTTGTCCCCAAAAGGGGCGTTTGGGGCAAAAGGTCTGAGCCTTGGAGGTGGGCAGGGAAGGCTGCAATGAAGCCATCTGTGCATCTCCCAGTTCATAAATCCCTTTACGGCTCTGTCTCATACACTTTAACTGCCCCATAAATTTCTTTACAAGAGCAGCTGATGCTCCAGTCAGGATTACAAAGGGATTTACAGGATCGTAACCAAGACTGACTCACTGATCAAAATATTGAACAAATAAAGGAGACAATAATGCTGAAGTTTCCTGCCCACTGTTAACACAGGCTGGTTTTCAAACACCCTCTGATGTGCCCCAAAGTCTGCCCGTGGGCTCAGTATACACCAGGTTCAGCTCCCCCGCTTCTTCCTGTCCCATCCAAATAACTGAGAGTAGGGCACCTAAACCCATTACCCATCTCTGCAAACCTCAGCCACTGGATCATCATATCCACATCAGCAAAAGCTGGGTGAAACACTGGGTACCAGAGCACAGTGTCAAAGGCAACCTGTGCTAATCCTGCCTGCAAACAGAACTTTGCACTCTTAAAGTCGCCCCAATACTCCTAGAAACTGGATTAGGCCATTTATCACTACCACAGACAACGGCAAATTATTTATCACTCTTTGAAAGTTGAAGTGCTCTGCACTGCGACCCTGACTTTAGCGTCAAGTCCCTCCCGACATAATTTTTCCTTGGGAATAAGTATCATTGGGATAGAGAAAAACCCATGCCTGCTGAATCACCACCACTTCAACAGGGCTTTCCCTGTTTCCCCTATCTCAAAGCTCCTGGTGAAGCAGCAGCAGACATAAAGCATAAGAAATTACAACCTCATAGACCCCATCTCACCCCGAAACCCACCCTGGGCAGTCCTGGCCAGCAGCAGGCAGCTGGCAATCCTGGGGGGCTCCCAGGAGGGATGGTGGAGCCACACCGGGGAGGCTGTAATTGCCTTGCCGCTACATACGCAGGTGATCTCTTCCGGCAGATGCACTCGTTACCCCATTAGTCACTCACCACAAATTTCCCACCTGTTTTGCTTGAGTGTCTGAATAATCGAGCGCCTGGAGGCTTGCTAACCTTGAAAAGGTTTTGCTGTGCGTCCAGGAGCCCCGGCACCCCTGGCTTTCGGACATCGATCCTCACATTGCCCAGCTTTAAAAACTAAACACAGACACCCGCTTCACTGCTGTTTGAGGACTCTGTTTTTTGGGGTGCTTGGGGTGAGCTTGGGATGCACATGGGGTGGGGAATGTTTCAAAATTGGGGGAAAATGGGGAAAAAAAAAAAAGTCCACCTGCAGCCCAACATGGGTTTAGCCATCAGGCATCATAACAGACTTCCCCCACCAGCTATGGTGTGGAAACATGGAGAAAAGGGGGAGGAAAAGCAGGTCCATCATATTTAAGTATCACTTGGTGATGTTTGGAAAATAGTTTATCATGTGCTGAGAAGTTTACGACCCTCCACAGCCCTGCCATCACATTGGAAGGTTTCGGTATCAAGCTGAGAAGCTTGGCAGGGCTCTCCTGGCTGCCTCCAAACCCCCTCCATCCCTGTCAGCCTCCTGTTTTCCTCTCCCAGGCCCACCACTCAATTTCCATCCCTGCCCTTTGCTCACCCGTGCTGCTCCCCCTGCCTTCCCCAGCCATCCTTCACCCCTCCCTGCATCCCACTGCCATCCCTTTTCCCTAAGCAGGTGCCCAGGACCTCGACACGGTTTCTTCCCACAAGGCAGCAAATTGCATCTGGGAGGCATCTCCAGGAGAGCATAAATATGATTTACATCCTGCAGGGACAGGGCACGGAGCCTGTGGGCACCAGGTGGCAACTCCTCACCCACTGAAGCTGCTGCTTTGCTGCTTTATTATCATTTCCAGAAATCACAGCAGCATGCTGGCTGCTGGAGGGGCACCTGAGCAGACATTACACACAACAGATGCCTCAAATTTATTCTGGTGCACAGCTCCACCAACCACAAAGGTGCCTTAGGAAAAGGCCCTTCAAACTCAACCTTTACTAGTTGTTTGCCAAGGGGATCGACAGCCCAAAGCCAGTTAAACCTACCCAGTCACTGGCTGCACATCCTTCCCTGAACAGGGTGCAGGGCAAGCATCAGCCACATGGCCAGGACAGCAGCAATGCTAGCCACCAGCCTCCACTCCCCAGCCATGCTCCCAAAATCCAGTCTTTTTAGCAGCGAGAGCAGCCCAGCACTGATCTTGGCTCAGGCAGAGCCTGTGGCAGGGGGAATCAGGAGCCCATCCTGCCTCTGAACGCTGCCTCTCCCCTTCCTCCTTTGGGAGTCTTCACAGCATCCTCTTCCCAGCCCCTGTCCCACTACATCCCCCCTGCCCCTTACATCCCTCTGTCTCTCCACATCCATCCCCATCCTCCAAATCCCCCCTGTTGCTCTTCTTTTCCCACCCATGGTCCTCTCCATCTACCTCATGGGGCTTTCATCACCCCATCGTGCACATTTGAAGGTGGAGGAGTGGGGCACATGCTGCCCACTTTCCCCTGCTCACCTCGCCCAGTGCTGTAGTGCTGTAATTTATCGCTGTACACCGCCTCCTTGCTGTAGGCACGCTTCCTGGGAGAAGAGGAGAGAAAACAGCCGGGCTTGAGGAACGAGCAGCTGGCGATGGCCCCGAATCGCTCCCCTACTAGCAACGCTCAGCAAGCGGTGGCAGTGTGGCGCTTTCTCCAGCTACAAGGGTCCTCCGTCCCACCCTTCCTATGCCAAATCTCTCCCAGCTGCATTTTACCACCTCCACCTTCCAGGGACACAGCATTCCACAGGGACCCACCTGCTGCAGACAATGGAAATGGCCACCAGCGAGACAATGAAGACAACCCCGGCCGCTGCGGACCCTGCGATCAAAGGCAGCTGCTCTCTCAGCTCTGACTTGTAGTCATCTGCAAGAGAAGAGAGATGGGGTGAATTCTCCCTTGCATGCTCACAGAGTAACAGCAGCCTCCTGGGAAGGGGTCCCATAACACCCTCTCTGACTCCACAGGTGCTGCTCCCATGCGAGTGTGGTGGGACAAGGGGGAGCCAGGCAGTAGCACTGCTTGAGGCAGGTGATGAGCCGGTGCTGCATTGCACAGGGAAGGATTGTCACACTTTGGCTCACCTGTGTTTTGGGTTAAAAATACGGAAGAGAAGATCCTGGGAATCAAGTCAAACCAAAGGCATGTGAGCCCAGTTTCCCAAAGAGATGTGGTTTAAAAGGTGGCTTTGTCCGTGTCTCTGGGGTTTCTCTTCCCTCAATAAATTTAAATCTGTTGGTTGTTTTGATCGAAGTTAACATAGGGTGTCACAGACACCCAGGAAAGGAGGGATTGAAGAGACACTATTAATAACCAAACTAGCTGGGGAAAGCTGTGCCAGGAGCTCACCCATATTAGACACAGGAGAGTCCACCACACAACAGTTGACCTTGAAAGAGAGGCCTGGGAAAATCCACCTTTGCTGTGGGTCTGCTTGCAGACTGACTGGTCTTTACATCTCGAACAACAGCACGAGTAGACTCCTTTTGCAGAGCCACAGCAACCACAGTACTCCTTCCACACTGAGCATCTCTCAAACCCCCCCTGGCACCCCCTTGCCCACCCTCTGCGTCCTTCAGCAGCAGGCTAGTGTGAAAGCCGGGGTGGCACAAGGAGAAGCGGGCATGCCTGGAGCAATCCTGAGAAAGCCACTTGTCACCTCCATATATCTCCCCTCATTTTCCCCTTCTCCTGCCCTGCTCCGTCAGCAGTGTGGGTACCCACAGCCATGTGGGTGGATGGTACCCAGCAGACCCCACACAAGTTCTGGAGGCTTCTGTAGCCCTCCAGAAACACACGTCTGTGTTTACCACCTCCACCTCTCCAAACGTCTCCAGCAAGGTGTGCCAGCAGCCACAAGCAAGGGTTAAAATAAAATTCACTCCAAAAGAAAGCATTTAGCACCCTTTTATCTGTATTTTTCTACTTCGTGGTTAATAACTAGCAACTAGATTTATCTCTTGCACACCGCTTAAATCCTGGGAAACTCTCATCTAACAATCAATTATTATTTAATGATCTACACTATCCATTCTTATTAAATTTCAATTAATTGCTTATTTGAGGCAGGATTTTTCTTCTCGCTTCTCTAATCCTGAATATCTGAGGCATTGGGGTATTTATTACCATTTCCTTCCTTTCAGTCACCCTGCATGGCTTTCCTCTTCCCACCCTGGCTGGCACTCAACACGAGTGCAAGCAAGGGGCAACCCAGTTTTAGGAAAGAAGTTTTAGGAAAGACAGCCAGCAGGGCTGGGACCTATGGGTGTCACCTATGTGGAGCAGGAACCACACCAGCAGCGACAGGGAAGGTGCTCTCTGCAGGGACTTCAGCTGCCCCAGGGTTAGGAGGATCACAAAAGGAGCCTTGCTTTATTCACTGACTTCTGGATTACTCCTGAAGATGGGATTAATCAAAAACCCTTCCATGAGTTATTAGTCTCTAAAGGGACCTAAGGCTTGTGGGTGCAGTTAAGGGCTGGGGTCAGAAGAACGACAGCACAACTCTAGCAAGGAGGCCAGAAGAAGCCAGTGAAGGTCGTGAGCTGACCCTTTCCCTTCAACACACCATGTCAAAGTGGGAAATCAGCTTTCAGTGATAGGTCTGACCCTTCCAGCTTTGCCCTGATGGCTCAGATGCGTCTCTGAGCACCCCAGGAGAACATCCTGGAGTCCTTCCTCCAGGGGTCTAAACCCTCCTCTCCTCCCCAACCCACCATGCCAGATTCACAGCTGTGGCAGGGGTGCTCTGCCACCACAGTTGGAGGCAGGAAAGACAAAACCGCAGCTAAATAGCAGGGAGAAAACAGTGCTAAGAGATTTAAAGCAGATTACTCCTCCAGCTGGCGATTAGTAAGACACCGCTGTAAATCACCTGGTTTTTGCCACACTGACCACCAGGAGAGAGGTTTGCGGAGACAAGTTTGTTTAATCCAGTTAGAGCCCGAAGCTGTTGGAAAGACAACCACCCTCTTCACCTCCCTGTCCCCCATCCCAGACTCACCATCCGTCAGCGTCTGGAAGCACATCTTCCCGCTGTACTTGCCATAGCCAGCCACGGTGCGGGCTCGCACCTGCACCACGTACACCATGCCAGGTCGCAGCCCCTCGATCCTGGCCGTGTTGGTCTGGCTGCGGGCCATGGAGGAGTTGTACTCGTTGTGGTCCTGCAGGTGCAGCCAAGAGAGACGGTCAGCAGGGAGGGGGGATAGTGGTGGGGACAATATGCCACCTGTCCCCCGCAGATGGCAAGGATGAGGTTAATCCACAGAGGGATAAAGTGGTGGCCCTGGCTCTGCTCCCGAAGAACAAGTGCTGGAGCCTGCGCAAAGTGGTTCAGATGCTCCTGGTTGCCCTCAGCCCCTGACATGGAGGATCCCACAGGAACAGGACCCATGAGCTCTGCCTGGCCTCCAAGGAGCTGGGGAGGTCCCCACAGCACTCGCCTCCCTGGCAGCACCCTAGTCTCACCATAGAGAAGAGCATGGAGTAGCAGGGGGAAACATTAAGAGTATCCAGAGCAAAAACATTCATGAGCAGCAAACTCCTCTTTGAATTATTGATGTCCCTGCACATTTCAGAAACGTTGTGCAGTTATGGAAATACCATAATGCACCCTACGAGACCCCGCTCAAGCAAGTTCAAGGGCAACTTGCCTCTGCTGAGAGCCCCAGTCCCTACAGTCCCTGCTCTGCTGACAGAGGTCCTTGTGCTAAACCTTGGTGGAAAACTCAAGCATCTCAAATCTCATTTTTTGCAACGTACAGCAGTGATTTGCTGTAAAGGGGCTGCTGTTGAGATCATCTAGTTATTCACATTTAGAGGAATTCATTAAAGCTGGCAAGACACAGGAGGGATGGAACAGCTTGGGCTTGGTATGGTTCACCGCAAGGGTCAAGAGCATCTCCCTTGCGGGGGAGGACAGCTGCCAGTGAAAGGACCCGGCGGGGGGCAGTGACCTGGGACAGGGACAAACCTGATAACCTTCGCTGGTCCTTGCTGTTGCCTTTTTTTCCTCCTGAAGCTGTCCCCATGCTCTGGGTCCTTGCTCACCCTAACAGATACCAGAGCCAAGGCAGCAAGAGGCACTGATGTGCTGGAGAAAAATGCTGCCATGGGGGAGGAATTAGCATTTGAAGCCACAATGTCGCTCCCTTTCTGGTTGCTGCTAGGTCCACGTTGCTCCCACCCTCCAGAGCCAGCACAAGCAACCAGGTGCCTGTCCCATCACCTGTCCCACCACCCAGACCCTTTCCAGCAAAGAGCCTGAGTCAAAGCTTGTCGATGTTCCTCCTTTTCCAGCAAGCTCAGGATCTGAGCAGTCTGCTGGCAGTGCCATATGGAGCGCCGCATCTCCCCAACCCACCCTCCGTCACAAGGTTTCCACTCGAGCTTACCGCTGCTGGCCTGGAGCCCACACTGCTGCTGACGTCAGGTGTGCAGATGCGGCTCACCTTCTCATAGTAGCGGATCTCATAGTCCAGGATGATGCCATTGGGCTGCTCAGGCTGAGGCCAGGAAAGTGTGATGCTCCTCATTGTGGCGCTCACCTGGTGCATGATGGGGACAGTGGAGGGTGCTGCCGAGGAAGCGGGGAGGGAGGGAAAATTAATGGAGAGCAGTAGGACCAACGGCCCTGGGGAGGTGGAAAATCTCCTGGGCACACGGAGCATCCCAAATCTCCCACGCCTGCCGTTGTTCGTCCCACGGGTACAAGCTCATGCATTAGCAGTGGGAAGACCAGCATCTCAACAGCTTACATGGAGCCAGAGCAGTGAGCTGGTGAGGGAATTCTGGTATTTAAACCAATTATTCCTTTTAATTAATCCTCAGAGTTCCTTCCCCCTGGGATTGCTTGCTCCAAGGATGTCTCCCACGGCAGAGTAAAGACAGCAAAGCTCTCCCCAGTGGGGACAAACCAAGGCTCGATGACAGTCTCCAGTTCTGTCTGCCATCTTTTGCCAAAACAGCTTCTCTCAGGGAGTCAGCACCCAGCACCTTGGGAGCATGTGCCACGGCTGCAACCCCACATGTTGTCAGTAACAGGATGCGGGAGCAAAAATCAGTCTACGCCGAGGACAATGACGTGAAACCAGGGCAGGGACACCCCAGCCCAGCAAGGAGACCCCAGGGTGCTGGAGTCTGTAGCACAGCTTTGGCTCAGCCCTGTCCCAGAGGAGCTGCTGGGTCTGCTCTCAGGGCTCTGGAGGGATGCTCATCCTCAGTGCCCAAATGTACTCTCCCAGGAGTTTTCATTCCAAACCCCAAACACTTGCAGAACAGTCTCAAACCATCCTTCAGCTCCTCACCCACCCTGGGGCCATGGCGCAAGGGTGTTTGAAAAGCAGCACCTCCATCCTGGCAGCCCCCCCAAGACCTCCTGAGCAGTAAACCACAGAGGTCCCAGGCATCTTGCCACAGCATCCCCAGAGAAAGCAAGATGCTTGGCACTGGTCAAGCACGCAGTTGGCATCAGGTGCAAGCCCAGCGCTGTTTGTCAGATCCCCTTCCCTCCCTGCCACATGTTTCTAATCAGTCCTGACAGCTATGCCACACACCACGTTACCCTGCAAAGCAGCCCATAGTATTTCAGTTCATGCACCAGACCAGAGCTAATCAAGCACGTTTCCTAAAATAGCTCCCAGGCACATCGTCCCCACTGCCACTGCTCCCTGCCCTGTTCTCCACATGCACTGGAGCAATCCCAGGGCTGCTCTGTGCCTGCTGGGGAGCCGAGCACCTGCAGAGTCAAGTAACCCTGGAGCTGAGTATCCCAGAGCCGAGCACCCCTGGAGCCAAGCATCCCTGGCGGCAGCAACACCATCCTTCCACCACCAAGGACACCAATCTAAATGAACCAGGAGACCCTTTTCCCAAAGGCTTTTTGCTCTCCAAGTTATACTTGAAAGGGCCAGAGCCAGTGAATAAGGCCCTGATACTGCACTTAATCCTACCAAAAGCCTCCGAGAAAGGTACCCAAGTCTCTCCACGCCCAAAGCGGCACTGGCATGACCTGCTTGCAGGGTCAGCTCCCTATCCCAGCTCTCTCTGCCTTCCTCCTCCTCACTGTGCCTAGAGTGCAGGCAGAGCTGGGCAGGGAAAACACCTCCTCCACATGGGTCCAGGGCAAAGCTGAGCTTGGCACAACCACCTTGGGGCACGGAACAGTGCCGCGGATGGAAACTGAGGGTGGCAGAAGACCTGCTCCACATGGCCGCACTGGGAGATGTTGATAGTTTGGTACCGCCTTTGTTTACCCAGCATATTTAATCCTGGGTTTTTTTTTTTAATCGCTCCACATCCGCTCTGAGAAGATGCTCGTGGGCTGAAATTAAACACTTAGCTTGATTGCTGTTTTGTTAATTGCTGCATTCCCCGCCCCGTTAGTGTGGATAACGGCACGCCAGCGGATGGGGCTGGGAGCAACCCTGCTGGGTAAGATGCACTAACCACCCTGGATCAAGCCCTGTGTGGGGAAAGCAGGTGGAAAGCCTGCTGCAAAGCCAAAGGGATTTTAGAGGTACACCACCGATCCTGCCCTCAACACCCCTGATGCATTTCCATCAGGTTACCCCACAGCCCATCCTGCAGCACTGGGAGCACTTCCATGTTAATACTCAGCCTTTGTAAGACAACAGGGAGTGCTGGGGTATAGACAGATAGCCACGGGTGCCCTGGCTGTTCCCAGCTCCTGGGCAGCCCCAGGGTGTGAAATGAGCAAAGAAACACTGCAAAAATCCCACCCTGGAAAAAAAAGGCCTGGAAACAAGAGGCAGGTTTGATTGCACATGGTTCAGGAGACAGTGATGCCAGGCAGGCAAAAGTGTAGATTTGTATTCCTTAGAGCCAGGAGACTAAAATATTTACTCTAGGTTTCTCTGTTGTGCTTTCCTGAGAGAGTGGGTTGTGCCTATTCAGCACAAAGCAGAAATTACCATCCTCTTTGTCTGCCCAGAGCAGATGGGTTTCCATCCCCTCTGCTCCCTGTGTTCCTCACTGCAGCGCGGGATGAGGTCCCCCCTTGCCATCTGCACACCCACCCTGCCAGCATCCTAGCTTGACCCAGAGCTGCTTGTTCAGCTCTTGATGCTTGATCAGGAAGAAGGAGGGAAAGGGACAGAGGAGCCTGGAAAAGGGGACAAGAGGAAAGCAATGGGAGAGTGATATGCCAGAGGAGACTGAGCCTAAACTCAGCCCTGGGATGCAGCCAGGCTGTGTTTCAAGGCTGAATTCACCTCATCTCCCTACTCCCACCTGGGAAAAGGGGGGAAATAATGATGCCATTTCATCCCCAAGCAATCTAGAGGGGGATAAAAAGCAGGTATTGGTCCTCACCGCCTTCTCTACTCTCACTTTGCCCAGGGCACCCCCTCCACCTCCCCTATCCCTCTCCCTCCCGCTTTTCCTGGCCTTTCTCCCTGCTTGCCACTTTCCCCCCAGCTCACCCAGGGCTGGGTGCAGGTTTACCACAGCCATCACACATCACTCACAACCCAAGAGCTTTTGCTTTTGGACATGGAGCTTCCTTCCACACAGAGCTTGCAACTGGTAGGGTACAGCTAAAAAACCCTGGTACCGCATCATCCCAGGACTCACCGGCTTGGTTGGTGGTGATGTTGACAGAAACATGCTGCGGTGGGAAGGGGCTCTTGTTGGAAACCCCGTTGACAGCCTGGATCTCAAAGGTGTAGGGTGTGTGTGCCCACAGGTTGCTGATGAAGACCCGGGTCTCCGTCAGCCCCAGCTGCCTGGGGACAAAGTCCACGTTGTCGTCGCAGCGGGAGCAGGCGCGTCGGTCCGACCGGCACTTCTTGCAGACAATGTTGTAAGTGACATCATCCCGACCCCCAGTCTCTCGTGGCGGGTGCCACTCCAGGATGATGGATGTCTCATTGACAATGGAGATGACATTACGGGGGCCAGATGGGACGCCTGCAGGAAAGGAGAGCACTTGAGACAGGTCCTTGCCCAAAACGTTATGTTCAGCCCTACTGGGGCTCCGTCTGCCAGTCTACCCATCACCTCCTGGCTCAGGAGGGATTGGTCTCCATAACTTTCCTTGATTCATGGTCAGGCTCTCCTCATCAGCAATGCTGACCACCTGCACTGCCAGCCACAGAGAGGGGTTCCATGGTTGGGGATGAGGACTCCCATGCCACAAACACACTTAGTTTAAAAAAAAAAAAAAAAAACAAACCATGGAGAGCGCACACAGATCCATCTGCGAAGACAGACCCATTTTAATGATCGGGAGATGCCGAGATGGCTCCAGTGCTCACGTGGAGAAGCACCTCAAAGAGATTATCACAGCAAGAGAAATGCCACTTAGCCAGCACTGCAGAGAAATGGAGGAGCAGTGGGCAAAGAGAGTCAGAAATAGAAAGTGTTTATTAATGGTTCGATATCTCAAGTTGGGAGCCCAGGTATTTAACAGCATGGAAGACAGCCGGCACTGCTCACTGGTTTGTGAGCAGCTCGGATGTTGGATGAGAGATAAAGATTACATTGATCATATCTGCCGAGAGCCATCGCAAATGCTTCAGAGGACGGGAATTGAATGTAGCTCCAATTGCAAGGGCTGCTACAATGGGGCCAGAGTCCATAGGGAGCAATTCAGGAGGAATCCAGGTGGGAGAGCATCACCGAGGCACAAACATCTGCCCAGGTCTGGGGAAGGATTTGGGGTTAGCCAGGATGGCTCCGCAGCCAAACCACAAAATCTGGCTGCTGGGTGATATTACATAAGGAAAGCGATTAATTACTTGTGCTGGCTGGGCTCAGTGCTGCGCTTCTGAGGAAGAAAAAGGACTTTTCCACAATGGTGGGAGCAATAAAAATGATGGAGGACTTGACCTGCAAGGAAAGGTTAAGAGAGCAAAGCACACTCCATCTTGGGGAAAACCATCCCAGGGGAGCCCTCCACGTGTGTGTGTGTGCCAGGGAACATGGTTAGTGGCTGCAGACAAATTAGCCCTGTTAGTGGCTGGGGATGGGACGGGCAGAGGCAGCTTCATCAGCACAGGGGTGATGTGGCTGGCAGGATGGAAAGGTCATCCTGCCTGGAGGACCTCTGGATGACACCTTGCTCTGGCCACTGCTGCCAGTCAGCCCAAGGCGGCTGTAGGTGGCCACCCCTGCCCAGCTCCCTGCCTGCGCGCGCTGCCCTCCCCCCCTGCTCCCTCAATCACACCAGGCAGGCACTTTGGGAGCCTGTCTGAGCCGTTGCCACAGATACTGCGGTTGAAAGCATTGTGTTAAAATGCCTAGAAAAGTGACAGCCTTTAAAAGCAAAAAATTAAAATAAAAAATTCTGTTCCCTTTAATTCTTTCCCCCTTTAATGGAGTAAATGTGCATGTCAGTGAGCAGCTGCCAGTGCAGCGCCCTTGCTGGAAAGGGCTTGCATGGACTCAAGGCATCAAAAACATACCACTGCAGGGCTCCCCTAAAATCCCATTAGCATGTACTGGAGGTGTCAAAGGGAGTTTACAGGAGGGGAGACAGGGGACACGTCAGGGGCAGGAGCAGGGGGAAGGACATCAGTTCCCTGGGGGAGCCAGACCAGAGGACTCACAAAGGCTGGGGACAAGGATCAATAAATTTACCCCCAAAAAGCTGCAACCTGGCTCAGGAACCTTCATCCAATCCCCCTCTTCATATCTTAAGCAGCTAATATCTTTGCAAACTTTTCAAGAAAAATGGAGAAAAACATCTTTCTTCCCTGGCCCAGCAGCAAACCACTGTCTCCCCAAATTCCTCCCCCTTTAATTGCAGCCTCTTCCCTCCTCTGCGAGGGGTATGGGGCAGGAACCAGAGTCGCAGGCATCACACTTGGCAAGGGCTCTGGTCCAGGGTAGCACCTGCAGCTCCACACTGTGATTTACTCCTCTGACATGGAGAAACTTTCTCGGTGAACAGCTGGCACCTCAAACTAGAGCGTTGTAAAATTAAGCTTTGATGAGAAGAAATAAAAATCAGCAAATAGACTTTTTTATACTGTATTCCTATAGCACAGCAATACTGTAAATCAGCTACATAACGAGATATAATAAAAATGTATGGATTATCTGCAGTTGTGCTATCTGCTGACTACCTCTGGTCTGACAGCTCAAGTCATCCAGCAAAACGTGCAAATCCTTTCCTTGTTTCCAACGCACGTTTTGGGCACACCCCGGCAGCAAGGGTACGGAGCATCCTCGTGCTAAAGCTCCCTGATGGGCTGATTCAAGGGCCTGAAGCATATTTTGAGAGGGGAGTTGAGGCTGAGACTCCTGTTCCCAGAGGGTGGAAGAGAAGAGCAGCTCTTTATTGTCTCCTGGGCTCTTTTCGCATCAAAAGACAGGCTTGAGGCCGCTGCTGCCACCCCAGACAGTTTGGGCAGACAGCTGCAGAGCTATGCATCTCGCGCACCACCAGGCAGAATATCAATGCTTAATGCACCCTTTCCCCCTATAAAAAATATTCCATCTGCAAGACTATGAACAAGACAGCAACAGCAGATAACTTTAAATTCTAATTTATCCTGGGGACTATCTCCCTGCCATCACCACCACTGCCAGGGTGAAGTATAAATTCAAATGGCTGCCAGAGAGGCCATCCCATTGCTCATCGTTTGGTGTGTGCCACGGTGCTGTCTCAGGAAAGCAGAGCAAAGGGTGATGCAACATCATCTGCTTATGCTGACATGGTGGTGAAAGGATTCGTGTCAGCTTGAGGAGTGTTTCTATAGCACATGGAGGCAGTGCCGTGTCGTGCAGAAGAGGATGGATATTCAATATGGGTACCCCAGCCCTCCACAAAGCTAAATCTTTGTAGTGGGTTGACCTCAGCTGGCTGCCGGACATCCACCCAGCTGCTCTCTTGCTCCCCTCTGCAGCAGGATAGGGGGAGAAAATAAGATGAAAAAGCTCACGGGTTGAGACTTTATCCCTGCCACTTCCCTAGCAGCAGAGGGGAGCAAGACCCTCTGTAGCCCCCCCGCCAACCCTGATCTGTTACTCACTGGTGCAGGCAGCTGCCGGCGGGGAACCCCGGGTGTTAGCCATTGCGGCACATGCAGACTGGCGAAGCCTCGGCAGTGGAGCGGCTGTTGGAGGGGCACAGCATGCAGACTCCTGTACCCTGGCTGGCCTTGAACGTCCCTGTTGGGCAGGCTGCAAGAGAAACAAGAGGAAAGCGGTTGGGTGCCAAACCATCCAGGGGCAGAGGCAAAAGCAGGTCCTGTCCTTGAAACAGGGCAGAAAGAAGAAGAAAAGAAAGAAGACACGTAAAAGCTTCACACCTGTATCAGAATTAAACAGGGTAGCACCTTCCTTTGAAGCTAGGATGGCCATAATTTTCCACACTGGCCATGAATTATTTTTTAAGCCACCAGGAAAACACTGAAATCAAACAGCAATGATACAGTAATTAGCCAGGCAGAGCAGAGGGGCTGCAGCAGCTGCTGCTTCGCTCCCCACCACTTGTACCCAGGCAGGGGGACAGCAGGACTGCCTTCTCCAGCAGCACCCACAGGGACACGGACACATAGGGCAGGACAGTGTTCCGCTTCTGCTGATCCGAAACATCCCTTTCTGCCACCCCAACAGCATGGCTCAGGTCTCGCATCTCTTTTTCCATGCAAAATTTGAATATTTAATGAAAATGTTGACGCAACACCCATGACAGTGTCTTATGGGTCCATCTCATTAATCCCCCAAAGCCCGGGGCTGGGGCTAATAACCTTCCTAGCCTTCGGCCTCCGAGTTCATTCAAGCAGGAAACAGTAACTGATTCACGGACAAGAAGATGCTCCAGTTACAGTTACAGTGAGGCTTTAATCAGTGACAGGGACAGGTTTCATTAATCAAGCATCCTGCTGCTCTGCAGTTAGAGGGTGAAGATGGAGTGACTAAGATTGGGGTCCCCCCAGCCCACCAGTCCTCGCCAACTAGGTGCTGACGAATGGATGCTCATCCATCCTTGATGCCTAACAAAACCCACAGGTGACCCCTATGAAACCAAAGGCTGCAGAAGGGAACATCTGTATTTTGGCACATGTACCTGCGGGACTGAACTTCCATCCAGGTCCACCACCCGGCCGGCAGGAGACTGTTCCCGGCCTCACACACAGGGTGGTCCCCCCTCCGTTTGGCTCCCGGCTCTGCCCCTGTGATGCTGTCACCTCCAAGGAATAGCTCTGCAGAGAAACACCCTAAGTGTCTCATAAACACAGAGATGATTGAGATAATGGAAAGTGCCTCTTAGCCCCTGTCTGCTGCATCAGGATATGAGGCATCTCCTAGCAGCCATGAAAAGGAAATTAATAGGAGCAAGCAGGAGTAACCACTTTGATGCAATTTCCTTGGGAGATAGTGGACCATCTAATCTTTATTGGAGCCCTTTAACCTGTCATTCAAAACTCACCAAGGCCTCTTGCTCACACAGGCTTTCCAGATATTAAAAGAAGATAAAAAAGGATAAATCAAAACAATATTTTACAATTTAATTATTCAGGGGATTTTTTTTCCACACCTGAGGCACACAACTGGCTGCAATGAACCATCTCTTTCCAATAGCAGCAATAGCTGAGTGGGGACATGGCACCCCAGAGGCACCAGTCACCATCTCATACTGCCCTTCCTCCTCCCCACCACGGGACAACTGCCGAGTCCTCTGCATCCTACTGCAGCCATCCCACGTGTATGGCCTCTTACGCAAGTATTTAGGGCCATAACCCACCACCTCGTGCAGACAGGCAGCTAGACACGTGAGGTTATCACACATTGCAGGACACTGGTGGGCACATGAGCAAGGAGGGCTTGAGGGGGAACTTCAGGATGCCAGAGCAGAAGACAGACAGATGTAGACCCATCCTTGAGCCATGCACACGGCCCTATACCCCATAACAGCATGAGGAAGGACAGAGTTATACCAGACACACAAGGCAGGAGATACAACCACATGTGGACACCAAGACTTTGAGGTGGATCTCCATTTCTTCACCTCTCCCTTCCCACCAGTACCTCCCCACGATGTCCTAGCAGCCTTGCGCTCCCACCAGCAAGCGTTAGTGTCTACAAGACGTGTAATGGGCGACTTGTAGGCTCTAGAGCTGGAGGACATGTTCAGAAATGTACCTGAAATGTGTTGGGCTCTTTGGAGGAGCAGGAAGGAGAGGGCAGCAGTGCCAGGGAACGGCCACCTGTATATTGATGGAAGGTGACGGGAGAGGGAGGGAGGAAGACAAGAGGGTTGCAGTGCTATGAACACGCCTCAGTTTTAAGCATAGGGGCATGCATGTGGATCGGTTGAAGGGGTTTGTTAATTTTTAACCACAATTAATCCAAGTGATGCTTTGTCAAAATACCTGAACAAAGTACCCTCTGCAACCCAGTGTCCTCAGGTTTATTTTATCATTTCATTTATCTGTAAATTCCTACAATCTGCAGGTACATGGCTCTTAATTGTTATTATTACCAATTAGCTTTTCTCTCCTGTAATTACACTGTGCTTGTCTGAAATCATCTGCAGTTTCAGGGGAGGCTGATGCTTTCTCCTTCCTCCCAAAGCTGCTGCAGGCTGCAATCCTCCACTCTCGCTGCTGCCCATGTCTCCCCTCTTTCTGGGGGAGCTGAACCATGAACCTCACAGCAAAGATGAAGCCGAAATCATTTATACAGACCCATGCAGCATGGGATCCATACTCCTTCAGATGGTAAACTTGCAGTCCGAGTGTAAGGCTCAGATAGAGGGCTGGAGCCCAGAAGGGAGCAATAAATCACCCCATTAACAGCAAGCACAATGTTTGCCTTGATTTAAGGGCTGCTGCAAGAAAGTATCCCAGACCTGGCAAGGTCTGGATTCACAACAGTGCCTCGGACAAGTGCGGGATGAGGCTGTGTCTCAGTTTTCCCTGCAGAAATGGGCTCCTTCTGCCAGTGCCCAGGTTGCAACACGTTCCCATCTCTTCAGCCCCGAGAAGAATTAATTGATTGTTGATTATGTGGGCTGGATAAGATTAATGATGCGCTTAACTAGCCATTTCCTTGCATTTAAGCACTAGGGGTGTGTTTGTAAATGATGAAGCACAAAATCTGGCCATGCTAGTCAGCAGCTTCAGCGCTCGCCGGGGCTGCCTGCACAGCACTGAAATCCACCCCATAACCCAAAGCTGCCTGCAGATCAGTCATCCTGCCTGCACACTGGGGATGTTGCACATCCTGGGCAGTGAGAGCCAGGGGCTTGCCAGGAGGACCCCTTTCCCAGGGCTGACGTAGGCATTCGGGGGTGGGAGGGAACATCATTGTAGGGCTGCTTAAACCCAGGCTTCTTGCAGTGAGATGTCATCCCTGGAGGTTTTTTTGGAGGGAAAACAAACAAACAAACAAACAAACAAACAAACAGAGGCAAGTTGCTGTCATGCCCGAGGTGTGACAGTACAGGTGGCAGCTGATTTACAGCACCCCACAGGGGCTGGATGTAGCTAGGGGATTCCAGGCCAGAGCTGCCCCTCTTACACCCACAAAGGCTTGGGGTGGGGATGCAGTCACAGCCCACAGGGGGCAAAACACCCAGTGAAGGGACCACAGACTTGCACCCCCATCTCTGCCTCCCTCCTTACTCTGCAGCTTGGATGGGGCAGGACGAATTATCGAAACAGTAGGGGCACACAGCAGCATTGCAAGGCTTTTTGCTGCTGAAAACTCCCCTGTCTTAACAGCATGTATCCATCTCCCTTCTGTTTCGGGTGCCAGGGGTCTGAGGAAGAGTCGGACATATTCAGCATCTCTTCTGCTCATCCACCCCTGCTCCTGCCCAAGGCAAGCTATCACCAACAGACCAGATGCTCTGCAGAAAGGGTGGAAGTGTAGGGGTATCCAAGCATTTAATTCTTCAAACTAAATCCTCTCAGTTAGCACCTGGAACTTGCACTTTTTAATTACTCTCTCAGGGAAGCGAAAGAAAGCAAGAAAAAGCAAGCAAGAAAGAAGACATCTCTATATTAACTTGCTCTAAAGCTCCCTGGGGACATGGAATGGCATTTTTCCTTGACAGATTTTAAAATATGAGCTGCTTCTGCAAAGAATTACAGACTTCAGCTCACTATTCCCCACCTCCTCCCCCTGGCCCTCGCTGGCACCCCATCACAGCTCCCTTCAATGGCAGCAAACCGAGTCTGCGCCATCTCATCATTCCTGTGCCCCTAACGTCACCACTGGGGCAGAGCTAACCACATAAGACAGGTATTCCCAAATCAATGCTTGTTTTGGGTTCCCTCTTGGGTCCAAGGCCTTTGCAGGACAAACCCAGAGTCTTTAAGCACACTCATGGTCATGCTGGCACAGCAGGTGATGAGAAGACAAGTTAGAGCAGCAGTGCTGCACAAGGCAACAACCTCAAGCAAGGTGGAAGCATTGAGAGGACTGCCACATGCAAAGGCACTAAAAAGCCTGCATGATCCAATCTTGCTCCAAAAAGACATGTGGCTGCCACCTACCGGTACCCCTGGAAGATAGGCAATGGGGAAGGTGCCCTGTTGGGTTTGAAGATGCCATGGGCCATGAACAAAGGAGGAACTGTGACTCATTGCACTTACAGCCCCGTGGAAAAGGATTCAAGGCCATTTCCCCCTTTCTGCCAACGACATTTTTTCATTAAGAAAAACACCTGGCTCATAAAACCGATACTATCTACAGCAAACTCACAGTCTTTCAATGAAACCCGGAAAGAAGAGAGGAGACGCTTGCTAGAAACCCCTTGTGCATTTGGCAGACACCTTCGACAAAAATGTATTTATCTCTAAAGCACACCAAAAACAGAAGAAGAAAAAAAAGCCCATCTATTTTTCAGCCTTCAAATTGATTAGCCCCAATTACAGGTATTTTAGTGGCAAGGCAGTTCTCCTCCCTGTCCCGCTGCCTCCATGTGCAGCCTGCACACAGGCTAGGAAGCTCTCCTAGACGTTTTCAGCTGAAAGACACCATCCAGGCAAATAAACACCCACATAAAACTGCATGCTATAGAAAAACGACATTTAAAGGATACTGTGATTACAGGGGCAGGCACTCCAGCAGCCGGCGTGGCTTTCCAGGGCGGCTGCCAGCTCAGACCCCACTTGCCTTCCCAGGCAGGCAGCACCAGGGGAACTGGTGGCACCACGTCCCCCGGGGACACACAGAATGGGCTGCAGAGCCCCAACACCACCATAGCCTGTAACACAAATGATGCTTTTGGGTTTCGATCCCTTTGATGTGACGACGACACCAGAAACTCAGGCTACTGTTCAGGGGAAAACACAGCAGAATCAGGCAAGCCGAAACCCACACTCCCCGATGGGGACTGCCATTTCCCCATCTTCAAAGTGCTGACTTCCCACCCCGCTTTCATCTCCCTTCTTATCCTCCCCACAAACATCTGAGCAGGCGCCTGTTGCCAGAGGTTTCATTGCATCCCTGACTTGAAGCTCTCCCATTATCCCTTCCCTCCTGCATTTCTGTTGGGGAAGGTGTTGGGGTTTTTTCCCCTTGATTTCTACTTTGTAATGATCCAATTCCCTATTATATCAAGGCAAGCATGGGCACAGTGAGCTCAGCAGGCAGTCGGCAGTGCCGATGGGTGTGCTGCCG